GCAAAGAGATATATTTCTCAGGTCAATGACACCATTTAAGCACAAATTTTAGTTGAAAAGAACAACTGAGTATTTAACTAAATGAAATAGTAGAATGGGTGCAGTCAGCTCCCTGCTGATTGCGATGGGTTACTTTGAAATACAACTGCTTTTTAGAGAATAAACACCCATAAGGGCATTACGAAACCAAGATTAATCCAAAATCTTCATATTCCACTTCGAAGGTTCCATTTTTAAAAAGTGGCGAGTTTAACATATCAAATCAAAGACTCATTTGCAAAACTCAAACTATTATTAATCAATGCAAGATAAAAGTCTATTTAAAATTTTGTACTTGTTGGAAATCGGATAGTCGCAAATCATTATCAATTAATGCTCCAGCTTCCTTATTTCATAATAAATCTGGAGTTGTACTGCCATTTGCGTTGGTCTACATTCAAACTAAAGAAATTAAGCAAAAAATCTTCATATTCCTAATACAACGACAAATTCAATCTGGTCGACACTTTATACATATCGGTTACCCCTGGACCTGTTGCACTTGCTGCCTTCAGATCTTTATAAACACAATACAACTGAGGAGAGGAGGTTGGTAATGTAGTGAAGTGTGTTAATTAAGTGAATAACCATATAGCTGAACAAACGTGGTCTTATTGATTAGCTATCAGAACAATGGGGGTAGCTGCAATCCATCGGTTTCTCCCTCTGCGCATTCCAGTTAGAATCTTTTACCTAGGTTGTGGAGATTAGAGTTCAGTGAGAACTTTCGGTAAATGAGGATAGTAGGTTTGTGGAGGAGATGACCCGGTGAGTAGAATGAGAAGCTTTAGCAAGGCTGTGATGAGTGCACGATTAGTGGGCCAAATCACAGTTCAGGTCCATTTGAATCGAAACATGTTTTTATATTCGTGCTCAACATACCGTCCGTACTACACCTTTTAAATTTACCCATCCAAAAATTTCTCTGGATGAAGCAAATTTGAAATGGGATCCCACATTTCTCATTTCACCTTTATATTATGTGTAGATTGTGATGAGTGCAGATATAGACATGTAATTGCCCTAAAAATTCATCAGCATGCCAAAAAGTGATGAAATGAGCCACCCTATTAAACTCCATGTCGTATAACGATCATTGGATTCAATCATACCAAATTAGGAAGAGGTTTAAAACTTAGTGGTTAACCCGACTAAAACGTTAAAAGAACTAGTCTCATATAATTTGCACAAAGATCTGATTGCTTCATAATAGTTATGAAAACTAATACTAATTTAAGAATTCAACAACACTTTTACATATTTAATATTTCTATTCGATATGTAATAATCAAACCAATGATATTTGGGCAGCAATTTTAGGGTAATAATATATTTATCTTTCTATCTCCTAGATTCATTCGGCTTTTTAGGTGAGACTAATCGCAAGAACATGTGTATTTTCTTTTTAGCTCTATAGGTTAATTATATCATGGTTCAAATTGGATTTTGAGGGCTAGGCATGTAAAAATTAAATTTGGAGATGAATCTTTGGTAGTCGGAGGAGTCTAACTCCTTGACCTGTTGTGGAAAGGATTGGAACAATTTTGTGAATATGTTATTAAGCTTATTTCTTGGAAGAGATTTCAAAATCTTTCTTTTTCAGTTATCGAGGGATTGTAAGATCTTGGTGATATTTAGCTTTCAATTTATTGGAGTGCTTGATTTATGCTCCTAATCTCTTCTGTGCTTTTTAAGTGAATTTGAAACCTATGAGGCTCAATATCAAAATTGTGACTAGCAATTTAGGTCATTCATTTGTGACTATCGATCCCCAGCATGCCCTTTCAAATCATACAATTTCATATCTATAAACCGTGTCATGATCAACAAAGATGATATATACTGGAAAATATTTCCATAGATATAATGGACTATATCAAAATCATCATAAATATATTTTTTAGACATATTGTGTATCTTTACTATTTACACACATTATAAATGCAGCAACACATACAAAAACATAATAATCAAACTCATCCGGCCAACTGGTCGGGGCCGATGCTAGTTACCAAATATCCAAAGGTAGCTCCAAGTTCAAACATTTCATTTAATTCTTTATAAGTAATCAATATGACATATCTGTATAATATTATATATGTATTCACAACAATATATTTATTTAACAATCATAATATTCAAACCATCCTGTCGCTTTTGTTTTTCTGGATTGTTCTGTTGGAGATTCTGGGGGGAGGTGGTTCATTGCTTGTGAACCCCAGCCCTGCTTTTCTGGACTCTTCTTCCTTTTTAATGCAAATTTCGCCATTATAAAAAAAAAAAACAATGTCCAAACCACCCTAAATCAAGTTTTAGGTGTTAACAAAGATATTTTCGCACGTTCAGATTTTCCTCAACCTTACAATCAAAATGTAAAATTTCGAAACAACTCACTGTAGCGCACCTCCAGCTTCTATTCTATTTTCAAAATTACTGCAAGTCGACAAAATTTTAATCGCGAGTTCTTGTTGTTGTTCAGGCGTGTTCCACTAGTTTAGGGATGGTCATCACTAAGTTCTTCAGTTCTCCATATAACGCGCACGATCTACAACACATCTCCATTATCTTGTCCGTCATATTCTGATGTTTGTTTATTGGGGCAATTAGTTTTCTTAATATTAATATATATTAAGCAAAAGTTAGATTACTATTGTCTAATACATTTACATTTTATACCCTAACTTTAATTAAATCACAATTTAGTCATTTTGCATTATGATACCCCAAATATAATTTTAATGTAAAATCATTGAACAATTATGTTTTGGTATTTAAATTTTATGAGATTTTCGTACCTACAATTTTTTAGATTTACATATTGGTCCAATGTTTAGATTTCACTTGAATCCATAAATTCAATCCACCAATCCATGAATCCAATCCACCATAACGCAAAAGTATAAATTTAGTTTGTACCATACAAGATGTTATATTACTCAACTCTGTGATAAGATTCGACCATTTTATATCTGCTCACTACGTGAAACATTAAATAAATGATAAAATAGAGAAGACTCTAAAATCTTGCAAGAGCGAATTTATAAACTCATTTAGTACATTTACGGGGGTACTAAACAAACTCATATTAACTGCATGTAACAAAATATGCAACATCTACATAAGCAAGTGTCAATAAATTGCTACGGTGAAAAAGTTGACTGTTCTATTCAGGGGCGGAGCCAGGATTTAAGTTTCGGGGGGGGGGGGGGGGTCGGAGTTGTTGTGTCATAATAGCAAATGTGAAAAAATTAATATGAGGAAATTAATATTTTTTGTTAGGTTAATATTTTCGTATGGCCTGAACTTTGACCAAAATAAACATCCTGGCCAATCTTTTCGATCTATAACATTCTGGCCCGAACTATACACCAAAATAAACAATTTGGCCAAACCCGATGTTTGACCGTTAACTTGGACGGTCAAACACGTTGACTAACGGTCAATGCGCCACGTCACTAGCACGTCACTGCCAACTTAGAAGATCTGATAAAAATTTAATTTTTTTCGTTTTTTATTTTTTGTTTAACTAAGGTATTAGATGATTTTTTTAAATTTATAATAATTTAAAATTAGGGAATGTGTGGAAATTGTGAATTATTTTAAATATTTTATGCTGACTTGGCAGTGACATGGCGCGTTGACTAACGGTCAACGCGTTTGACCGTCCAAGTTAACGGTCAAACATCGGATTTGGCCAAATTGTTTATTTTGGTGTATAGTTCGGGCAAAGATGTTATAGATCGAAAAGATTGGCTAGGATGTTTATTTTGGTCAAAGTTCAGGCCACTTTATTGTAACCGGTTGAGTTGGTGATTTATTGGTTGGCTCCGGTTGAGTTGGTGATTTATTGGTTGACTCCGGTTTAGTAATTTAATTAATAAAACATTAAAAAAAACAAAAAGAAAAAGAAGGCAAAAGGCAGAACAGTCGTTCCCTTCCATGTCTTTCCATTGCAAATCAAGGAAACCCTTCCGCCGCAGCACTCCACCACCACGTTGTTTTCGTCGATCGACCTCACCAGCAAAATCCCCACTTCGTCGGGCAAAATCAGCTTCGTCATCAGCCCCGTAGCCGCCTTCTGCTCATCGACAACATCGTTTCTGCCGCGTGAATCCACAATCACCATCGCCATTGCGGCCGATCGACCATAACCACCCACATCCCGAATCCCCGGCAATCAATGTCAACACCGTCGTCAACCCAGTTGCCATTGCCAGGTCACGTCTCTGTTGTGCCAATAAACCACCATTGTCGCTAGTCGGCCATCACTACCCAAATCCCGACACCCTCGAAATCGCCATAGTCGTCAAGGCTCCTCCCCTCTTGTTTTAACCACCGCCGATTCAATTTCCCCATCCATGGCTACACAATTCCTGAACCACCTTCCGTCCGTCATCAAAATCGTCTGGCTGCCCTGTCATTCCCAACAACGTCCCTACCGTGGCAATCGATCCGTTGCCGTTGTTCAGCCTTGAGCACGAAGATCGGCGACTCACTCGAAATACCCATTGTGGTCAGTGGCAAGGGATACGTTACCTAGAATCCCCTTTCAGCTTCTATGAGATAAGTCTTCGGTATCCTTGTGATTTGGGTATTTGTTGGATAATTGATGAACACATTAGATTGTTAAGATTGGGTGAAACACATAATTTGTAGTTGGATGGTTTCAAATCTTAGTGTAGTTATCTTAAATCCCATCCCAAATCTTCTACTTATTTATAATTTTTGTGTTCAGTTGCCGTGGATAAGTCATGTGAATAATTTTTGAATTAGAAAACTAAGAAACCCCAACAGAACTAGAACTCCTCCTTATCTCAACTAGTTATAGGTTCCTATATATATTTTGGTTTGTATTTGTATATGTCGTAGGCTTTTCAAACCAACAGAAACATCATTTGGTGCAATGGAAGGGTTCGTTATGTGTTTATCTGATCTGGTTATTTGCTTAATGAACTTCTCTTATGGCTCTGCCTAAATTGTTGTGTTTTTGTTGCGGCTTGGACAAGAGAACGCCAGAATCAAATGGCTCAAATGAGATTAACCAGGTAATCACTTACTATTTTCAAAATACCTTTTTGTATTTTTGGTTGTTTGTAGTGACAATTGTAGTGTCTTTGTCAAATAATTGCTTAGATGGTAGAAGTGGCGTCTGTTGAACTTGAATACCACTCCCTGTATAACTTAGGAGTCTCTCAGGGTATACCTTCGCTGAACCATCTTCCATAAAAGAATCATCTTCCCTAACTTGGCATTCCTTTTTCAGCTGACATTTCACCATATTTTCGTGATTTTGAAGTTATTTGGCCCCAGCTTTGTTAAAAAAGGATGATATCATATGTATTTGTTAGTCAAAATTTGCTGGATAAAACAATAATCTGGGACTCAGAACTGAAATCCCAGATAGCCTACTTTATCAAACCTATCAGCTAGTCTAAATCTGCTACTACAGATCAAGGTCTCCTTCAAGTTGGTTATGCGGCAACATCAAAACTAAACAAATGTAATCTTATTACCTTAAATGGGTAGTTGTGCTATTTATTTCCTTACTCAATTTTCACTCGTTTTGAATTTCATTGCTCGACCATCTATGATCCTGCCCTGCTGTCTTTATGATCCTTCTGCTGCTACTGCTTGCAATTCCTGAGCTTGGATATATAGAAGTGTATTTAATGTGTTGTTTGGTACAACTATAATCAATTCTAGTAATTAAAAAATTTAGGACTGAAAAATACAATAAGATACTATTACAATCAAAATCCAGCTTATAACTTAGATGCAAAGGCATACTGTAGATGAGGAATCATATAATTTTGTCTATAGCCTTATAACTTCCCTTCTGCTTGTGAGCTGCAACTCTCTGTACAATTTCCAAAGGCTGCAACCCAAATAACAATGATTGTATTCACATATCACAATTTTGCACAAATTTTTGGCTTATCTTCTTTTGTTTAAAGCTGTCATCATTTGTTTTCTCATTGTGTTTTCTATCTTTCTTTCCATGTACTCTATTTTTCATGTCTAAAAAATTGCACTCACCCACTGACCAAAATAAAAAAAATAAAAAAATTCTATCCAAAAAGATTGTTAAGCAACTCTTTGATGTTTCATATGTAGATGTCAAAACTATATGCTCTTATGGAAGAGTTGAAAGTGAATCAGTTAGCGTTGAAGAATGATATGGAGCAAAACATAAGCGAGTTGAGGAGATCGCTAGATTCTTTAACTGACTGGTTGATGGAGAAGTTTGCTACCATCAGACCTGGTGATCCCTGCGAAAGTGGTATGAAGCACAACAAAGACAAGGGAGTGGAGGTTATTAACATCAGCACGGATAACTCATGCTCTTTGTCAAGAACCACTGCACCCAAGATGTCAGACAAAGCTGCAAGTGCAAGGAAAAGGTTTGTTGTACTGTCATATTATGACTTGATTATGTTTCTATTAGTTATTTAATTGTTTTTGTTTTCAATAGGGAAAGGTTGGCGTGAAGCCGCCTGTCAAAGTGGGAAGTCCCATTTTGACAAGGAGATACAATGAAATGAGAAATAAAAATATATATTCCATTGGGCCCTTTACAACTTCCTCTCGTGCATGCTCAATGGATCTGATTTTGATAACCCATGTGTTTGACCAGTCAAAAGATGAGTGGTATTAAATCTATCTTTTCCAATTACTTATGTTAGTATTTGTTAATGGAAGTGCATATTATTCAAATTCTTTGTAATTGCAAATTGGTTATTGATTGTTTTTAATTTCCAGTGAGGAGCTTGTAAGATCTCCATGGTTTAATCTGAATTGGGCACAATTTAAGGGATTAGCACCAGATTTAATGTTGTCTTCTCAGGTTAGTGTAAAACTTCTTTTGTATTTACAAAACTAGATAGAATAATATGCAAACTAGGGATGGCAATGGTCGGGTTGGGGCGGGTTTTGTCAAACCCAAAACCAAACCCATGGGTTTATCCGCCAAAAAAAATCGGGGTAAAACCCGTTGGGTTTGAAAAACTCAAACCCAACCCGCTGGGTATCCGCGGCTTCATGGGTACCCGTGGGTTTTTGTGGTAAAAAATTTACAATAACAAGTTTCTTTCAAATTAAAAGTTTAACATCAATTTTCTCATACAAATTAATCATACAAAAAACACCAATCTAGAGCATACAAGCAAACCGCAAATGATCAATACAAATTGTTCAAAATTAAAGATAAACATCTATAAACAATAAGATTAATTGAAACCTTCTTCCTCGTCAACTAAGTTTCTTCACTCTCCACTTCATCATATCAACTTCATTCTAAATAATAAGAAAGAACAAATTATACATGTCTCCACAATCATAAAGAATATTAGTTGTTTAGGGAAGATATATTATGTAGAATATTAAATATATGGGGAAAGGAATTATATGTGTATGGGCGGGTACCCATGGAGCGGGTTTACCTAAACCCAACCCGACCCGGTGAATAGTGTAGCGGGTTTAAACCCGAACCCGACCCAAAACCCGTCAACATGGGTTTTACCCGCGTTGACCGAGTTGGATCGGGTGGGTACTCGTGGGTTCGGGTTTTGTTGCCATCCCTAATGCAAACAGCTTGTGTGTTTTATGTGATTGTGATTATATTTGGGATACTTGGACAGGTTATTACCATGTGTGTGGACTTCTTAACTCTAGAAGAGTTTCGTAAGGAAAAACGTGTGCGATGGTTCTTACCACCAGCCTTTTCTGTAAGTATAAATATTTTTTAAGCCTTCTGTGGTGTATTTGCATGATAATATTGTAAGCAATTATTACATCTGTGAGAATGTCTTTTAGATGTCTGTGCATGGATATTCTGAGGAGAAGATTAGACGCGTATACTGTTCAGAAGATTTCAACGACTGTGAGAAGGTACCAATCTTGTTATGTGGTCTTAGTTGGATGTTGTAATTGGTTTATTTTTGCTCCGAGTTGTTAATTATTACATATATTTTGTAAATTTTTGTTCCCATTCTGCTGGACAATCACTTTTTTCTCAGCGTATTTGACCTTAAGAAGGAGGTCAAACAAATATGGGATTCATATCCGAACTTTCTCGATCCGGGCAGGAGGGAAGAAAAACTATCACAAGTAGTAAGTCAGTTATCTCCTAAAACTTTATATCGTTTGTGTACCTGTTTCTGTTTGGTAAATTGGGTACTCTTTGTCACGTAGGCGAAAGCACTAGACTCCCTGGTTATGGTCAATATTATTAAAAAGTTGGAGGTCAACTTGCTGGAATCTTTCACTACTAAAACAGTGGTTAACGCTCCACGACAGAAGAATGGGTAAACGTACGAATTTTGTGCTTATTTTTTATGTTAGTTATATAGTAGGCTAATAACTGTCATTTTAAGTTTGACTATTGGTCCTGCATTAGGTAACCAGTTCGTGGAGCGGGAGCGGGAGCGAGAGCGTGAAAGCGTCTATTTTTCAAGAACTCAATATTGACAGCGTGAATAGAGCGTTAATATTATATTAATTTTTATATATACTATTAATAAATATTTTTTTAATAAAGTTTATACGAAATATCCAAGACTTATTACAAAAAAATTATAAAGTTTAGTGTAATGTAAATATCTATTTATTACATTACACTAAGTTATTGTATTAAAAAAATTATATTGATATTCTATAAGAAAAGATTATTTCACATTAAAAAAAAGAAAAAAAAAACATAGCCCATTAATTGGACTTCTTCTAGAAAGACGTTTCAATTACATGGGTATGGGAATTTGGAGTGGGAGTGTGGCTGTGTGGGACTCCAATTTTTTTTTTCTTTTTCTTTAGGGACTCCAATTAAATGAGATATTGTCGTCCGCCCTTTCTCTCCGACCATCGATCAGCCAAAATTGTTCCTCTGCTTCTCTCTTGTTCTTTTCTTCTTATCCGCCTTCTATTTCCTAGGTGAGAGAATCCATAGATCAAGAAGGAGAGGTATATCATCAGTCGTTCAATCGACGCAACTATTCTCTCCCGCGGAGCTACTACTCTCTCAGATCCTCGAAGAAAGAGATACCAAAAATGGCGTCGATGTTCATAGGCGACAAAACTGCTCCTTTCTTAGACTTCCTCAGAATCGCATCCACCCTCGTCTTCTCCTATAATTATCATAACCTTATTCCCGATTTCGATTCAATTACTATAGATGCATGAGGATCAATCTTGGATTTGCGGGTGTTGTTTAATTTATTGCTGCATGCGTGGATCTGTCAATGGAACGGCAGAGATCGGGGACAAGGTGATTGTGGAGTGCCCACAAGATTAGCGCAAGTCTTTTTGGGTTCCTGGAAAATTCACGCTCCCAAAATAACAATTCGCGCTCTTAGGCAAAATAATTCGTGAATTTCCGGCGAATTCCCCAAAAGTCGTGTTTTGACGTTTTGGAGCGGGAACGTCGATGGTGTAGGGGCAAATTCGGTGACCTAAGTCCTGCATGGTTGACTGTGGTCTTTTCGTGGCAAAGTTGATGAGAAACAGTGGGTGCTTAGATGATTGTGCACGTAAAATGAAGAAGAAGGCCAGTTTCTTCCCAACTTTCTTATCTCTTGAGTTTTGATATTTTTCTTATACCTTTTGTTTTCGTTTCTACTTTCAGTTTGAGAGTCAAGATGAGAGGCTTGATCTAGCATTGTATTTGCTGAATAACAAGGACAATGAGATTAAAGATGTGCTTCACCGGAAAGTTGTAATGGAAAGTGGTGAAAGAATTGATGAAGTTGAGGGTACTGCTGAGAGGAGCGAAACACCCATAAAAGATGGGAATTTTACTACTTATAAGCTGTAGTTGGTTTTCCTTGTTCAATAATTATAGACTCTTTAGAAGAATAAACATGGGTAGGCTATTGCGTTGGACTTTTATTAATAATCCTGATGCTGTTTAGTTGTGGGAACGTTGTGGGTTTGAATATGGGGGACCTCGATTTGTTTTAATTCTTTATGAGAGGTTGATATGGTGTGGCTAGTGGTTTTGTTGGTGTGCTTGTTTCGTGGATGGGTACGGCTGATTTTCCATATTGCAGCAACTGCCCATTTTGTTTTGGCTCTATTCTTAGGCTGCTTCTTGTACTCGTTGTTTTCTTCCTACTTCATTCACTTCCTATTTGAGGGACCAAAGAGTTTCAGGTTATCAAAAACAAGCTCCAAGTAGCAGATTCTGGAATGATGGAGTAGAATATTGCACAAGAGATTATATCCTAGTATGATTTTTAGCTTGTCATCTCTCGTGTGTTTTTGAATAGTTTGGTTATTAATAAGTTATCTTAGAATGCACATAGGTTTCGTCTTTCCTGTCATGTTATTCCTTTGCTGGTTTCTGAATTTTGGTTCGTCGTTGATGTCTACTTTTTACTTATAACATGCATTGTAATGATATTGTGCAGCCGGAAAATGACAAGAACATGTATTTGGTGGTTCGGATGCCAAATACACTACTGTTACTTGTGCCGCAAGGTTTTGAAGCGTACCAGTGACCATTACGGACCAAAGAACTACAACCAACATATGGTAGCATAGGCTTTGAAGTTCAGTCATTACTAGATGGAGGATTCCACTCAGTTTTCATCAAAGCACACTCAGACCAGCTAGTGTTGACGAATGTTAAATTTTGATTGAGTAGTCGTTTTACACTAGTCAGTCAATGTATAGAACTACCAATTTGCCTCATCAGATTAGCATGATGTGGAACCTTCACACCCATGCTTAATTGTGGAAACAAAACTCAGATCAATGGGAGGAGAATGATAGTTGTTCTGTTTTTATTGACTAGCTTGATTTACTGGAAACTTTGCTCTTGAAGATCTCAGTGTCTATTTGTCCTACTCTTCCCGCGAGGTGTTTCCAGTAGGTTCTTGAAGTGCACTCAATTTATCATGAAACTATCATTATTCTGGACAACCAACGAGGCTTGAGAAGTTTCAAGGTAGCTCACTCACTGTTAAACGAATGGGCTCCTTAGTCATTACTCAAATGTCTGTATAAAAATAGAAGAGATTGCTTTCATTACGAATGGTAGGCGACCAGCCTAGTGGTTTAAGACTTTGAATTAATTGACAATTTGGAATATTTACATTCATAAGGTAGTGGGTTCAATCCACCTTACACTCTTTTTTTTTTCTTTATGCAAATTTGTCATTTAGAGCATCTGCACCACTCTCAAACAAACACGGGACAGAAATGCAGACACCAAGTAGTGGCAAACCAGAATTATGTAAACCACCAGATCAATTTTTGCATATTCCCTTCTCTTCCTTCCATTTCTTTTCAAGTGAACCAGCAGATGAACTCTAGTCGTTGAGAAGACAGTTTAGAAAAAATCAGCAAGCAGCAAGTGGTCTTCCCAGTCTTGGGTCAGCCAGTTTCACCTTACGCTGCTCATTGCCACAGAATTTGCCATCAAAACTGCAAACAATAAGAACAAACACGTACAACACCAGGATTCTACAATCAACACATGCCAACTGCACCACCAAGCATCTCTTAAATCTTGACAAATTGAAAAACACTGCAAAGGGATCCAACAAAAATCAAACTTGGGAAGTCCAAAGCAATAACTTTCCTCGAGATAAAAGAGAGTTGTGATCGTTTTAAAAAAAAGGCAAACACCAAAAGAAGCACCCTCCAACAACTAGTACAGGTCTGATTCTTTGTGTGAGGAAAACAAAGACATAAAAATCTTTTCCTAGTTACTCTGGAGTCTGACTCCTTTCCAAACCGCCGTCAACAGAATCGTCTCGCTCCACACTTTCCATGAGTACTTTGTGCTGGATAGCATCCCGAACTGAATTCTTCTCATGGTTCAGTAGATACAATGCTAAATCAAGCCTCTCCTCGTGTGAGTCAAACTGAAAATGTAAATGAAATGCATAAGAAAATAACTAAAACCCTTTAACTACAATAATAACAAGATAAGGGCTAGCAACCACCTTCTTTCTCATTGCCCGTGCGGACTGATCCATATAGCCACCAGATCGCAGCAACTTCAAGACAAAGACCCCACAATCAAACCTGCCCCTAAAGATTCAAAACAAAAATGAAATCAAAGAGCTCATTGCAATCAAAACAAGTCATCTGTTACAAAATCAATAACCTTACCCATTCTTCTGTCTTTGGGAATTAACAACCTCTTCTATGGTGAAAGTGGACAGCATACTGTATTCAAAACGATTAAAAACTTACTCCAAAAAGATTGAGTCCAGTTCTTTCGCCTACATGAAGCACAAGATTTGTCAGCATATGTACGAAATTGAATAACTAAGCATGTTTGATCATATACCGAACATGACTTACGATCTGTAACACTTTTTTGTTCCTCCTAACTGAATCTAGATAGTTTGGAAGTGAATCCCAGATATCTATCACCTCTTTCTTCGGGTCAAAAACACATAGAAAGATGTGGTTGTCCAAAAGAACAGGGACGAAAATCTTACATGTACACATATTACGTAAGACTCAACAGAAATGCTATCAGGTACGCTATTTTAAGAAGTTCCCATCATTTACCACAAGTTACCTTCTCACAATCATTGAATTCCTCAGAACAGTATACAGTTTTCATTGTTTTCCTAGACGCAGCAAAGACACGATCCCTAGTAGCACTGTACACCTGAAAGTATAAATATATCAAATCATAAGTAGTTAAACAACCGGTTCACTCTTTTTATACCTTCATAAGATTGCAAATAACTAGTTGTAACAATAACTAGTTAAGTATGAGACTTATTGGACAGCAACAGGCATAAAACCTTTCACATTAGTTAACAAGATCCACAAGTAACAACAATTGAGTACAGTTTGGCATCATTACCAAATCATTCAAAAGGTCAAAAGTTTTAACGAATCAAAAGTTATCCTATTCAGTACAGACTATAACCTGTTTTTCCACCTCCATGATCAATGCTACCAAAATATGCCGAATAGGACAGTATAAAACTAATGAACTTATAGCAAATGCAGGAGGTAAGAACCAATTCACACGTTTCTCATTACGCATCTCCAGCATCGTTAACAGGTAACCACACATAGTGATGACCTGCACAAATATATAAACCATAAAGTATATTATGTAAAAAGGCTTGCTCGTTAACTATGCCCATTTATAAAGACAAGATGAGTTGTATACGAACCTTGGTTGACAATGGTATTTCTGGCTGTAAGACATTAACCTCTTCACGGTTCAAATGAAACCATGGAGATTTGATAAACACCTCACTACAACCAAAAAATAGACAATTCAATCTTTGACGGGTGCCCTTAATTTTTGAAAAAAATGGATTCTACTAAAGTAATTACAATGAAACAGTTATTTAAATACCTTGCATTATTTGTTGGATAAAAAACGTGGTTGATCAACTTCCGATCTATTTTTGATAGGGTCTTCGTAGTGATGAAGAGGCCAACCACCTGCGTTTTGCCGTCTCTCCTCTCCGTATATTGACGGGTCCTAATAGGACTCCGCAACTTAATTGGAGACCTCATAAAACCTTTCCCATATCGTTTAACAATTGTATTAAAATCCGTATACCTAAAAGAAAAGCAAATAATACAGAAACAGAAGAGGGAGGAGACTACACAACCTTTCTCCTTGATGCTGTGTTTGTCGCATTATTTTTACTCCTTGTTGCCAATGAGGAGCTATCAGAACTTATGTTCAAAACTTCAACCACATCGTCATTCTTCTTCCCCCTGCCATTTTCACAGTTCTGATCTGACCTCCCAATCAGCAGGTCCCATAATGAATGTATTGTTGTCTTAATGTCGTTCATATCATCCTTCAATTCCCTTTTCATAGATAGCTGACATTCTCCCAAGTCAGCCACAAGGGAATGTAGGTTTCCGATCTGCATAAGAAAGACCAAGAGTGTTAGGTTCCTGAAATACTTCACAAAAGAATTGTGGACATTGTAAGAGAAACTTTACCTCAATCGATTCTGCCGCTGTCCGGTCTAACCTGAACATAACATAAACAAAAAAGTAGTGTCAGCAGGGTCGATAAGACCGAAGAAGAAAGGCATCGGGAAAAACAGAAACTAACCCTTCCATGACACCAATTCCTAGTATGCTTCTCAACCAAAATACGAAGATTAATTCACTAGGATGAGTTGCTTATATAGAAAAACGTGTCTAGAGAGGAGATGAAGAAACAAGAGGGCTCTTTGAAAATCTTCTGGTGTGATCTGTTAGGTTTTACCATTAAAAATAAATAAATAAATAAATAAGCTTCCTACCTTCTCAAAACTTCTTACTTACCATAATACGTGGGGATCAAAATCCCAATTTTATTAACTCTCAAATCTATACAATTATGCTAAATATCATGGAGCAAGAAGCCATCAAAGACAAAGCAATAAGCAGACCACACGTGGGAAACAAGTAGACATTTTCCCCATAATGCATAATGAACTGTAAAACAGCAGTGAATCAAAGCTTTGAGTTCATTCTTGTTCGTCAAAATAGCATGAAAAACTCACCTAGTACACCTGGCGTGCCACCAGCAGCAGCAGCTTGACTGCCAAAGCGTGGATGCATGGAGGAATCAAAGTTCCGGTGGTGCAAGTTTTTGTGGCTTAATGAGGAAGCTCCTCACACTCCTTCACAACAGCATCCCCTAAACCATTGTACGTACTTCTCCAGATTCTCCATTGCTCCACAGTGTTCTTAAACCTCATCTCCCCCAACACCTTCCTCGAATACTTTCCATTCACCCGATAGAACCTTCAATTAACAGCCACAAAATCTGGATTCAACTACCAAAAATCAACTATTTCCCCCTTCTTTCTGACCGTCTTC